CCCCCCCCCCCCCCCCACACACACACAATGAGGCAGCACAGTAGGGCTTATGGGAGAGTTAATAAGATTATTCCCCATGTATTTAATAATTTTACTAAATTTTACAATTGGGTAGCATTTGGGGGGGGGAGGGTTGCATCCAGTACTTTTGGAAGCTAAATGCAGATGCAGGTAGGACCTTAAGATGCCCATCTCTATTAAAGCAGGAGAAATGGCAGAATTAATACAGGAATTCTGTATTAATACAGAATTAATACAACAAAACTACAGTTGTCTACTGCCTGTTGAATACCATTTTGTGTGTGTGCATGCAAAGTGGAAGTATGTGTCAGCCATTCTAATTGGCCTTGAATGTTTATCAGTCCTGCAATGTGAGATTTTATTATTTTATTATCAGATCTTTAAACTGTGCAGTTGTGCAACTCAGTGGTTTACAAGGAAAAAAACCAACCGTACAATAAAATAACAACTTAAAAATTGTTATTTTTATTCTTAAAACCGGAACACATAAACAACTCTACAGCGCTACCAGTGGATTTACTCAGCCTTTTCAAAATTTCATTTCCTAGCAAACATTTCCTAGCTAAAGATTTAGTGCAAGTGTAGAATCAGTGATTTTCCCTCCGTTTCTATGCATGAACGTACGGGAAGAGAGAAAACAGTTTTCATTCATCCGGAAACAATTTCAAATATCAAACATATTTATGAGAATTTATGACCTTGAGTTGCTGCTAAAGTAGAACGCTCAGCACCTCTTACATCCTGCTGGAGACCTCCGAGATTTGTACCCTAGTCCCCTGGGGCGGGCTCCTGCTTCTCCACCCACTAATTTAATAGAGAAGTCCTTACTGCAGCCTCCTCTAAATGACCAGAGAAAACATCGGGACTAGAGAAGACTCCCGCAAAGAGCAACTTAGAGATGCGCTCTACCTTCTGTTTTTTTCTTTCCTATACTCTATGGCAGTGTTTCTCGACCTTGGCAACTTTAAGATCAGTGGACTACAATTCCCAGAATTCCTCAGCCAGCATGGCACCCTGTGTCTATTCCGCCCCGCCTATTTTCTGCACAATCGCTTTGGACAGGCTTCCCTTTTCCTGCTTGCATTGAGACTTTCAATCCTGCAGGAGGCGCTCGTTTTAAAAAGCCTCCTATTTAGTCTTGATTTCCGGAAGAGAAAACCGAAGGGTGGTGTTTCCGGCCATTCATCCAGCACTCCGTCAGAAGCGCGCCAGTAGCTTCTCTTCGCGAGTAACGGAAGCGGCCTAGCTTGAGGCTGCTGCACCAAGCTCAATTTTTTTTTTTAACATTCCTTCTTAACGTGCTTTTGGCTTCTCACTGTCGGGGAGGCCGCGGTCTCTAGTTCAAGCCGCTTCGAGTTGCGCCTGTCGCCTTGCCGCCATGAAACTCGTGCGGTAAGAGTCAACGCTTCGGGGAGGGCGGGAACAATTCGGAAACACGCCGGGCTGGGCCGTGGCCTGGCCTGTTTACTTGGCTTGCTAGACCTGCGCTCCTTCGGAGTCAGCTCCCCAACGCGCTGAAGGCCTTTTGATATCCCCTGTTTTGCGCTCGCTTAACTTGGCCTGGTTCATCTTTGCCTTCAGGAGGGGAAGAGTTTCCTTTGGCCGTCCATCCTCAGAATAAAGCCATTCTCCATCAGCTCCATTTTTCCTCTTCATAACTGATAAGGATTCTGAAATTCAAGGAAAAGAGGAAGATCCTGAAATGGAGACTCAGTATTACCCTTAAATGTCTTCAGAGCAAGGACTTTCCTTTTGTTGGGTGGCCATTCGCAGAGGATGGCAAATCTATATTTTTAGTATCTGAGTAGATAACGCAATCCTTCCAGATGCATGGTGAAATAAGGATAAAGCTATATCTGCCCAAATAGCAATATTTTACAAATCTCATTTTAAGCAACCTTATTGAGTATTGTGAATGATAAACCTGCTTATTTGTGTACACCACCACATGCTAAGGCTCAGTCTGGAAATTGCAGGGCTGCTCCCACTAATATCATTCGGCAGGTATATCCAAGAGGTTGGGACAGATTATAAACAAACTGCACATGTACAGGCTGTGTCCTGAACGCCTATTAAGTACCTAATTAGACAAAGCCAAGCAAGCAATTAAGGTGTGCATCAGGGACATAAGTATTAAAGTTGAAATAGCCAAACCACCAGGATGTACTGGTTTATCAGAAAAAGCCTAAAATGCTACCCTGTGAATTACCAGCTTACCCACTCTAAATATGGCTGGGCCTTTTCCAAAGCCTGTTTTAATGCCCTCTCTTCAGCAGTCTTAGAAGGCAGTTGTAACATTTTCCCAGGCACATAGAGGCTTTGCCCATGCAAATCTAGGGAGGTTGAAATGTTAGAGCATATGTTCTTACCATGCAAGTTTTATACTGATATGCATATTAAGCATTTATGAGTTCTGGACTAAGAATGCAAGAAAACATTGGATAGGTATTTTGCTATTCAGCTAAAACTTAAGTGGTTTTATTTATCACTAAATTGTATTATATTGAAAAGGACAAGACAAGGCTGTCCCTTCGTGTCCCTCCTTATTTTTATTGACATTAGATCCATCAGCTAAGAAGCTATAACACGAAAATAAAATTTCAGGAATCAAACTAGCAAACCAAGAAAATAAATTAAAATTAAAATCATATGCAGATGATGTAGTACTTAATACTCATTGAAAGGATTTCCTAGAATTGATCATTGAACATATCCAGCAGTATGGCTTGCTATCTGATTAATAAGACTCAAATGATGATATGGAATTTACCTGAAGAAAAAAAGCTGTATTTGCAGCAAAAAATGGGGTTTCATATTACTGTAGAAAATATTTGGTACCTGAGAACTTATTTGACAAAAGTAACAAAAATTTATTTAAGAGTGCTTATTTGCATACTTGAAAAGGTAGAATAGCTAATTTCCTTAAATGGAAACATTTTAAATTGTCTTGGCTAGGAAGAATTGCATCAGCAACAATGAACATTTTGCCAAGACCTAATTTTTTAATTTCAAATGTTCTGGAAAGAATTGAAGACAAAGTATTAAGTGGAAGACAAATAACTTTATACAGTCTAATAAAAGAGTATCAAGCTTAAAATTTTATAAGACTTGAAAGGTGAATTGATAGTACCAGATTTCAAACTGCATTACCAAATTAGTTGTTTAACTTGGATTATAGACTGGATTATATAACTTTATGGCTGTATTGCTTCTATGAAGGAAGCAGGACTTACAAATAGTTTGCATATATCCCTTCGTCTGGATACAAATAGAAAAATATAACTTATAAAGACCATTCAATAATCAGCATATTTAAAGTATGGGATAAACTGAGAAAAAGAATTGGTCCAGTCTTACCATGCTATTAAATATTGATTTCCATGGAAGAGTTTTGACCAGTGGAGAGATAAGTCATACCTACTGCACAATCTAATTATTAATAAGACAAGGATGAAATATTTCAAGATTCTTTCATCAGAATTATCAGAATCATCTCTCTGGTTTCAATATGTCCAAATAAACAGTATAGCTCTAAAGGAATTTCAAAAACAAGTGGAACACTTAAATACAGTGCATTCGGAAAGTATACAGACCCCCTTCACTTTTTTCAATTTTGTTATGCTTCAGCCTGATACTACAATCGTCCAAATTCATTTTTTTCTCATTACTCTACACTCAGTACCCCATAATGACAAAGTGAAAACAGAATT